GTTCTTTTCTATGTGATTCTTGAGTTGCTGTAATTCTGTATTGGTTTGTATCTCACTCTTTATCTGTTCCAACAGGTTGTTAGTCACAGTGGTGATAGTCATCACACACCCCGTGCTGTCATCGGCCTGAAATTCGTCACTGGGTCGCCGAGAGAGGGCATCGGCCACTTTGTTCCCAGCACCAGGATAGTACTCAATATTGTAATCGAAGCCAAGGAGCTTGACCAAGAAACGTTGCTGCTCTGGGGTCTGTATTACTTGCCCCATCATCTCTCTTATACTTTTCTGGTCAGTTCGTATTGTGAAAGGTCCCCCTAAGAGGTATTGCCTCCACTTAGAAACCCCTTCAGTGATTGCAAACATCTCCCTGACATAAGTTGAAGCTTGCTGCATCTTGGAATTAAGTTTCTTGCTAAAATAAGCAATGGGCCTATTGTCCTGGCTCAACACTGCTCCAATTCCCACCCTAGAGGCATCAGTGGTCAGCACAAACTGTTTAGTGAAATCTGGGAGTGCTAATATGGGAGGGTTTGACAGAACCCTCTTTAGTTCCAACATAGCCCTTTCAGCCTCTTCTTCCCACCTAAAGGCATCTTTTCTTAATAATGCCGTCAAGGGGGCTGCAATTTGAGAAAAACCGCGAACAAACTTGCGGTAGTATCCAGCCAATCCTAGGAAACCTCTCAGCTGTTTCAATGTGGTGGGTGATTTCCATTCCATAATGGCTTGTATTTTCCCTGTGTCAGGTCGAACCCCTTGGGCATCCACTATGTGCCCTAAGTAGTCTACTTCCTCTTTACCAAAAGAACACTTAGACCTCTTGGCATACAGTTGATGTTTGCGAAGGCACTCCAGAACCTGTCTAAGATGTGCTGCATGTTCCCATTCTGATTTACTGTAAACCAAAATATCATAAAAAAAAACAATTACAAACTTGCGTAAAAACTCCTGCAATACCGAGTTCATAATGCCCTGGAATGTGGCTGGGGCATTGGTGAGCCCAAAGGGCATTATCATAAATTCATAGTGCCCTTGGTGCGTCCTGAAAGCTGTTTTGTAAATGTCTTGTGGTGCCATCCTAATTTGATGATAACCGGAGCGTAAATCCAATTTAGAAAATATCACAGCCCCTGTAAGCTCATCCAGCATCTCATCCACAGTGGGAATGGGAAATCGGTTGGGTATAGTGACTTGGTTTAAGGCCCTATAATCAACACAAAATCTCCAGGTTCCGTCTTTTTTTTTACCAATAGAACTGGGGATGAAAATGGGCTCAAACTTGGTCGAATAATTCCTGAATTTAGCATTTCTTTCACCATTTTTTCTATTTCATTTGTTTGAAAATAGGGATACCTGTAAGGTCTAACATTTACTGCTTTTGTGCCCTGTTGTAGGTGAATCTGGTGGTCCTCCACTCGAGTGGGTGGCAATTGTTGTGGGCTGTCAAATACATCCTCATACTCCTGTAATATCTGTCGGATCATAGGACTGGAAGAGTCATCACTGTTCAACTCATGTGGTGGTTCCTGTGAAATGGCCTGCAACTGGTAGTAAGTGGCCACTGCATCAGAATTGGTGAGCCTACGTAGTTGATGCAACTCTATGTTCTGAACCTGTATGCGTGGTTCACCTTGTAATTCAACTAATTGCCCATCTTTCACAAATTTCAGTTGCAAGCTCCTATAATTTGTGGTAATATCCCCCAGCTCAGCCAACCATTGGGCACCCAGCACTACTTCTGCTCCTTGAATGGGGAGAACAAAAAGGTCCACAGAAAAAAATTGCCCCTGTAAATCCAGCCCAACTCCACCACAAACACCCTTGCACCCTAGGCTCTCTCCACTACCGACCAGCACTTTGAATGGGGAAATGGGTTCTACTTCTAACCCCAGGAATTTTACCATTCTCTCCTGTACAAAATTGTGTGTGGACCCTCCATCCACTAGCACCTGCACTGAATGTTTATTAATTACCCCATTCAACCGTAGTGTACTGGAGGAGTATTGGCCATCCATGGCATGAAGACTGATACCAGGTATGTCATCTTCACCCCCTATCTTCTCATTATTAATATCTAAGTCCCTTTCTGTTTCATCTTCATCCTCATCCTGTATCAGTAACAAGAACATTTTGCTGCCTTTGCAAACATGAGTTCTGCTGAATTTGTCATCACAATAGTAACATAATCCCTTTTCCCTCTTCTCCATCATTTCAGCAGCTGACAATCTCTTAATGGGTATGTTGTTCCTAGGTGGCGCTGTATTTGGCAGGGCTCCCTTTGCTGGAGTTGGAAGAAGGCCAAGCTTGATTGGACACGTTGGGGTTGATGAAATTTCTTTGGGTCCCAAAACGTTGTGCAACTCGATCATTCAGCTTGTCTTCTACAACCTTGGCCAAACTGATAGCATCCGCCAATGATTCAGGCAAATGTAACCTGACTTCTTTTCGAATTTCAGACTTAAGGCCCGATTCAAAATAACTTTGTAAGGTAATGTCATCGATCCCAATGACTTGATTGGATAATTGCTCGAAAGATTTTTGGTACTCTTCCACTGTGGAATGCTGCATCAATCTCCCCAATTCTCCTCTTAGGTCCCTGTATTTGGAAGGGCCGAACCTGGATCTCAAAGCGCCCACAAACGCTGCCCATGTCGTCATTCGGTTATTACGTTCCATCCAATGGAACCAGTCTTCTGCAACGCCATCCATTTGAAAGGATGTCAGTGTCAATTTGTCTGGATCAGGTAAGTTGTGAAACCCATAGAACTGTTGGATTTTATGAATCCATGGTTCCGGATTCCCACCTGCAAATCTGGGTACTGTGAATTTGACTGCCTTGTAAGCATCCTTACCAAAGAAGGTGGACAGTCCTGTTTCTGAACCGTTTCCAGCCTTATGCTCCCCTTTGAATTTTTGGTTGGGATCTAATTTTGCTTCCATCAGTGTCAGTTTCAGGTTCATGCTCTGCAGCAATTCACCTAGTGCACTGAACTGATCCTCATGTTTAGCCAGTTTAGATAAGCATTCGTCCATGAGGCTGTGCTTCACTGCTGTGCGAGTTCCCTCCGCCATCTCAACTTACGGAAGTTTCTCTCAACGAGAGCACCAAATTGATAGGAGTAATCTATCAGAACCAAGAGAAACAGAATATTCTAAAAAATAGAAGAAACAGAAATGTATTTCAACAGCAATTTCGAGATACGCCGGCAACTCCAGAGACAATTTGGAAACGAAGAAGAAGTTTGTTACAGATATTTTCGATACCCTCTCCCTAATGGATCCTTCCCCTTTATAAGTGTAATCAACAGAAATTGTAATTAACTGAATGTAAATTTCCTATGGGCTGCAAGGTCAGGCCCATTATTACTTCTCCTATACTTAGCAAGGCATTGGGCTTCTCACAGTAGCACTGAAAGCCCAATTTGCTGTAATTGTTTGCACCGCTTCATCAGCCACGCGTCGAAGTGACAAAGTCAGTGAGCCAACGAGGTGTTCTCTTCACTCTATCTCCACCTCTCCTCATCTGATCTCCATCTCTCCTTAAATGGTCTCCTTCAGCATCACCAGGGCACAACTCTACCGCGTCAACATCAGCCATAGTGATGTTCGTATCATACACCCTTCCCAATTTCTTGTTGGGGATCCCCATTTCTGTGTTTGAGTCTCTTGTTTGGATGCTTGTTACCTACTACACCATAAGATTTGCACCTGAAGCCAGCAGGTTCTTCAAGCAACTGTTGCTGGTGTTTCTTATCCAACAAATGGCTGTTGGGATGTTTAGGGTTATTTCTGGAGTCTGCAGGACAATGATTATTGCTAACACTGGTGGAGCCCTCATGCTCCTTTTTGTTTTTCTACTTGGAGGTTTTCTCCTTCCCAAACGTGAAATTCCAAATTGGTGGGTGTGGGGCTACTGGGCTTCACCATTGACATATGCTTTCAATGCTATGTCTGTGAATGAAATGTTTGCTCCAAGGTGGATGCATCCACAGACTTCTTCAGATAAAACTACCACATTGGGTCTGTCTGTGTTAAGGAACTTTGATGTTTATGCTGAAAAAAAATGGTACTGGATAGGTGCCGGTGCTCTTGTGGGTTTCACAATTTTGTACAACGTTCTCTTCACCCTTGCACTTATGTACCTTAATCCTTTTGAAAAGAAATCTCTTGTAGTGATTCTGATGGAAAGTCAGTTATTAGAAATTCTAATATCTCTGACAAAGATGAAGTTCTACCCAAAGATATCATGCAGAATGATCCTTCATCCAAGAAGTCTTTAGTTTGCAAGCAGTATTATGAATTTGGGGACAACGAGCATAACAACCTTATGCTCCATGGAGATAAAAGATTTAGCTTTTGGTAAAAGTTTAATTGGAGATCGTCAAAGGCAATGGGACTTGCTAGTACATCAGACAAAGTTTTCCTATGACGGATCACAGATGCGATCATTGATCCAAACTACAAATGAATATACCAAGCATGTCAAAGAATTGCATTTCCAAGTCCTAATCTTAATTAGGAAATTTGGTGATATTGTACCAGAAGAGTTGCCGCCTGGATTACCACCTGAAGACGTTGCAGATTCGAGGGCGAATCTTTTCCTAGTGGGAGAGGATGATGCACTTAAGTCACCATAAATTATTATAATTGCAGACGTTTCAGTTTTAAAGCTTTTTATGGATTTTAATAATTGCAGACGTTTCAGTTTGCATGACTTTATGTTTTGTTTATGGTTATTTTCGTTTTGTATCAGTTTTTAAGACCATTGATAGTCCTTTGTTGTCAGTTACTTTTTGTATTGCCTTCAAAAGGCTGGTTAAGGCTGGTTAGAAGGATGTGAGGGACGACTTTTGATGATTGAAGAATGATAATATAGCAGAAAACTTCTGCATTTTTTCCTGAAAGCCTACTTTCCATATAATTTTGCATCAACATAGACCTTTTATATTGTACTTGGCTGAGCTAATGAACAAAAAATTTCCACATTTGCACATGTGGACACAAATGCAGCAGCAGCAACTAATTCTAACAAAAATGATGCAGACTGCTTCCTAAACATCGTTATCAATAGACAAAAGATTACACACAAAGATGATTAAAGTAGACCATCTGTATATAACAGGCCAATGTACAAAATTGAGGTGGAGATTTTCAGCATTTATGAAGAAGTTACACACAAAGTTTGGATGTGCCGAAATTCCTATGCTTACCATCAGCTATATTGGTTAGTTGAAAGCCTTGACTAGGAAGCTGATTGATGAGAAGAGTTTCTAATTGGCATGCCAGGCTTTTTCCTGGGACGAGGAAATAAAGAAATGATGCATTTCGCAGTCCTTCCTTTGACCGATGTGCACGAATCCGGCCCTCAAGATCATCCGTCTGATATCATCCCAATTAAGAAAGAAATCAACTATAATAACAGGTGCAGTATAAAATCATGATAGCGTGTAAATTAAACTAGTAATTATCAACATCCATTTTAAATTTCTGATAAATTATAAGTTTTTACTATTGTGCTAAAAGACATGCCACATAAAATGTAGAGGAAAAGCAAGTTAAAAGGAAAGCCATGAAGATATAGACACAATAAATACTACTAGGCCCTAGAGAAGAATTGTGGGTCCCGTTATAGAGATTTTATGTGTCAATCTATCTCTCCAAATGACCTGTGGAGTGAGATAATCATGTGAGAGGATCCAAATCCCATCCTAAACTGCACAAAATTGAGGTTAATTAACATCAGAGTTGCTAAGTTCAGCAATCTATCCAACACTGGTTTTGTCGAAAAACAGTTGCTATTAGGTGCCCTGACCAGGTATTGAACCAAATTTGGTATCTATCAGTTAAATTGGCTGGTTAAGAAAGGCATTCATAACATTTTTTTATGCTAGCTCCTTCCGCAAAGGAAACAAAAAGATAAAGGAAAATGCTAGATAGTCAGAATTAATTTGAAAGAATAGGAGAGAGTTAGTTTTGCTATTTACTCTTGGATGCAAAAGTGATCTCTACCACTTTGATATATCCGACAACCACCCTTAAATGCAGGTAAATTCAGTCTATATTATCTCAAGTTATTTTTTCCTGGCTTTGTAGTACTACTAAAAGGAAGAAACAAGGAAAAAGGTGACTACTTCATAATTAAGAAAACATAATGAAAGCCAAGAGATATACCTCTCCTACATAAAGTTTCTTATCTGGCCTCAGCATCAAATAGACGCATGAAGAACCTATAGTTGATGGAGGTGGCTCTTCCCGTGCACCAATTAGGACACACTTTATCTCGATAAGCTCTGATGTGATCTTTTTCCTTTGGAGTTCCATTATAAGATCCTGGCATATTACATTGATAGCACTCTCAACTTCCTCATGCAAAATTTCCATTTGATTAGCTAAAGCAATTCCCTCAGGAGAAGCTCGTGACATAAACTTTTCTGAATGAGAATGTGTTCCATTAAAATTATTAACATTCATGTAAGTAGAAAATTCTTCCTGATTTGGGAAATATTTTGCAGAAAGCAGTTCCTTAGCATAAACTGACATATAAAGATCTTCAGCTCTTTTGACAATAGTATCAGGAATTCCCTCCCTCATGGCGGTTTCAAAGGCAAGACTTTCTTTGCAGACCCCATCTGTTAGTTTCCAAGTAGGCTTTATTTCTCCATTAATGCATGCTGTGCCCATTGCTTTGTGCACAATGTTCTTGACGTTTAGTGGCAGAGTAAATATTCCTTGCAAGTGAGTGGATACAATACCCAGACACCCAATTCTATCAAAAGTTTCAAGGATGCTGCCTGCAATACAAGTCCCTTTTTCCGTTTCTGTTCCTCGGCATATTTCATCTACAAGCACTAGGCTCCTTTTGGTGGTTCCAGCAATGATGGATCGAAGTTCTGACATTTCCACCTGGACACCAAACATTAAGATGGATGAAATGTTCAAGGTACTTACGAAATTGTTTCCATAAAGCAACAGACAACCATTTAATTTTAAGGAAAATCATGTTGACTTTCATGTTGTATGATAATTCCATAAAGCAACAGATAACTGGTCCCTTCGTCTAGTTTTGGAAATTACACATGCCCCCTTCTCTATGCATATTTCACCTGTAGCGTAGGCTAAACGACAGGGTAGATGTGAATGCAAAATAAAAAACCAAAGGGGTACTTTGTTTGATGAAACTTCAAAGAAAGGGAACTTACTGCAACTTCTGAAACTAGAAGGCATGTTAGTGCAATGCTATCAAATTTCAAGCGAGACCAGCGTTTGGTTTTATGACACGAGAATCTCTAATCAGAAAATTTCAAGAATAAGATTATTGTTGAAATAGTGTACATATTATGGTTAACTGACTTATTTTATTTATTTTACAGTATAACTACATTCGGCTTCCAACTTTTCTCCAAATCAAATAAAGTTTGACAGTTAGTTGTGACTCACTTGTGATTTATTTGTTTTTAGAAAATTTCGGGTTGCCTCCCACCGCAATCCCGGTAGCTATAGGCCACGAAGCAATCAACATTTATGATGTCTTATTATAGATGAACATAAGAGTAAAGTATGAACCAACATCAAACCTGAAATGAACTTTTTCTGTCAGCTGGACTATCATATGATTTCATATGAAGCACGATGGAGTCAAAATAAGGAATCAAGGCTGATTCAGCAGGAACCATAAGCCCACAAATACCGAGTAGTGCAGCAGCACAAATCGACCGAAGTAAACTTGATTTACCACCCCCATTTGGTCCTGTCAAAAGATATAATGATTGCATATCAACAGTATTACGCACAGCACCTCCTCCTGCTATGTTGAACCAATAAGGCAACAAACCAATTATTTCCATCCCATGGTTTTTGTCTGATGGCTTCACATCCTGCAACAGCAGTTTAACATAGAATTGTAATATTGAATTGTATAATATCTGTACAAGAGTTCTCTATATAAAGAGTACTGAAAGACCTAATGGGCTAAGCCCAAAATACACTTCTAGAGTATTCTAGCTATTACAAATAAATAGATAAAATCCTAATATTTACAACACTCCCCCTCAACCTGAGGAATAGATATTTATCATTCCCAGCTTGCTAGTAAGCTCTTAAAACCTATCATTAGGAAGACCAGATTTTATCATTCCCAGCTTGCTAGTAAGCTCTTGAAACCTATCATTAGGAAGACCCTTTGTAATACCCCATATTTTTATTAATAAAATAATAATAATAATAAACTATAAATTAGTAGTAATAATAATATAGATATATATAAATAAATATTATGGTGATAGATAGCAAAGTAGAATATTAATTTTATTTTTGATAAAATTATTTTGTGCGATATGAGTGCTATTGGAAAATAATTTTGATACTTTGTAATACTCTAAATTATTTATAATAGCATAATATTAATATGTATATATATATATGTATATATATTAGATGATAAATTATAATTAATTGGATTATTAATTGATTGATGATTTAAGTATTTATGATTGATTGGTAATTTGATTAAATATGATGAGTCAGGATTGAATCAGTAATGTATGAAGTCAATATCTGAGTCAAATACATCAATAAAGAAAAAGGAAATAAATGCACGAAACCCATATCCGAGCCCAAAACTTCAACTATAAATAGAGGCCTAGCCTAAACAAACTAATTCACTCTCCAACATTTCTCCTCTACTACTCTCTCTCCTTACTTCAAAAGTTTATTTGTTTTATTTTCTATATTCTTTTGGTTACCAACCGGTTCTCTGCCCCAATTTATTCTCTTCTAGAAGTTAGCAAAAAACGGAGACTAGGTAATCCTAATCCTTAGGTATTTTTAGATTATATTTATTCTATGTGAAATTTGGTATGTGTAATCCTAATCCTTGGGTTATAATTTTGTTTGAAGTTTATTAATAGTAATCCTAATCCTTAGGTATTTTTAGATTATATTTATTTTATGTGAAATTTGGTATGTGTAATCCTAATCCTTAGGTATTTTTAGATTATATTTATTTTATGTGAAATTTGGTATGTGTAATCCTAATCTCTAGGTGGTTTAGATTTGTTGTGTAATCCTATTCGTAGGTTATTTCTTATATATAAAACTTTGATGTAATCTGAATCCCTAGGTGTTTAGGTTATCTCTATTATATGAAATTTGGGCATAATCCTTATATGTAATCCGTAGATGTTCTTAATAGTTTGGTATGAACATTTCTATATATGTAGGTATTTGTTTTTTTAAAATTTAATTTGAATTTGGATTTTTCTATGATGAATGTTGAAGATTTGAATTATTATATCCTTGAATAAATTGGAAAGTTATGATGAGGATCGAATTTGGATTTTACTGTGATGAATGTTGAAGATTTGAATTATCATATCCTTGAATAAATTGAAAAGTTATTATGATGATCGGATTTGGATTTTACTATGATGGATGTTGAATATTTGAATTGTTATATAAATTCAAAAATTTATGATAATAGTTGTTTGAATTATGATACTTTGGAAAATTATAATGCCCTTGAGTAACTCATTTAGAGATGATAATACTTAAAGAATAAATAATTATGATTTAATCTTTCCTGATTGTGTGTGTTTGTAATAAATTAATGGTGGGAGGATAGCTTTGGGATGGTACCTCCCAAGGTGATGAACACAACTTTTGGGCTTTATGCCTCCGATGTGAAACTGATGTGAAAAAGATTATATCCGTTCTTCCCAAAGTGGTATCTGGTAACAGTGGTTTTTTCCCGGGGTACTAGTAGCAACTTTGGGAAGAGGTGTGCACACTAGGAAGATGTGAATTGATTATGGCCAATTTTGATTATACGTGGCTGGTAACAGTGGTTTTTTCCCGGGTCACGGGGTAGACTGGCAGGGTTTCCCGGGTCTACCATGGTTCTCTTCCCACTAAATATAATGAACTTAAACATTATTAATAATGAAATTTGTTATTTGATTTGATTATGAAGAATGTCATTGAGTTGTGAATATTATCATATTATGACTAATGTTGTGCTAAATATGTTAGTTGATAATTACCAAATACATCAAATGAACTTAATAAAGATAAATATTATATAATGGAATTTTGATTATTATATTCATATTTGATTTGATTAATGTGGAATCGATTTGAACACTATTTGATATTTGATTTAATTTGTTATTAATTACATTAATCGTATTTTGATTGGGATTACCAGCTTTGCTGACTTTTGTGTTTGTTTGACTGCAATGATCCTGCGGCTGCGGGGGAGCAGATTTTCAGTGAAGCATGTTGCAAAGGATGGGGCTAGCTGTGGGCAGTGAGGATCACGACTCAGATATTTCTAGCTGTCATAAATATTATGTATAAAAAAAAAAACTGTAGTCTTAGATTTTTATTTGAATGTAATAGAGTTAGCCTTGCACTCCCTGTACAAGTGCGGCGGTAACACTTCCCAAATTTGATTATTTTGAACTTCCGCTGTTATTTATAAAATTATTGAATTTATTTATGCTATTATAAATTGTTAGAAATTTGGGGTGTTACACCCTTAGTCAAGACATCAGCCAATTGACGACCAAAAGGGATATATGGAGTAGTAATTAGGCCACTATCGAGTTTCTCTTTGATGAAGAGGCGATCAATCTCAATATGTTTGGTTCGATCGTGTTGGACTGGATTATGGGCTATACAGATGGCTGACTTGTTATCACAGAATAACTTCATAGATCCTTCTTATCTCACCTTGAGATCATCCAGAATGATTTTCAACCATAACAACTCACAAATCCCTTGAGCCATGGCCCGAAATTCCGCTTCTGCACTTGTTCTAGCAACCACATTTTGCATTTTACTTCTCTATGTTATTAAATTTCCACAGAGAAACATACAATAGCCCGAAGTAGATCGTCTGTCAGTCGCAGATCCAGCATAATCAGCATCTGTATAAACCTCTAAAGAGAGGTTTCCTCCTCTTTGGAACAATAGTCCTCTGCCTAGTGTGCCTTTCAGGTATTGTAGAATCTTGTCCATAGCTCGCAAGTGTTTCTCCCTTAGATCATGCATGAATTGACAAACAACACTAACTGCATAAGCTAGATAGGTCTAGTATGAGCTAGATATATCAATCTTCTCCCTATTCGTTGATACTGTCCTTTGTCAACTGGAGGGCTCTCATTTTCACTTCCTAGTCTGTGATTCTACTCAATCGGAGTACTGGAAGGTTTGCACCCGAGTTTTCCTGCTTCTTTAAGGAGGTCAAGAACATACTTTATTTGAAAAATAAAAATGCCTTGTTTTGAATAAGCAACTTCTATCCCACGAAAATATCTCAGATTTCCAAGATCTTTAACTTCAAATTCAGAAGTCAGTCTTTTTCTCAAAGCACATTTCTCATCTATATCATTTCATGTTATAATCATATCATCAATATAAACTAGAAGGAAAGTGGTCTTACTTTCTTGAGAATGTTTAAAGAAAAGGGTATGATCTCCTTGACTTTGCTTCTATCCCATTGAAAGCATAACTTTAGTAAATCTTCCAAACCAAGCATGCGGGGATTGTTTCAAGCCATCCAACGCCTTCTTCAATCTGCAAACTTTATTATCTCCATTTGTAGAGTTCAATCCTGGACAGCATTTTTCACATCAAATTGTTTCAAATCCCAATTAAAATGAGCAGCAAGAGATAATAAAATTCTTACAGTATTCATTTTGGCCACTGGAGCAAACGTTTCTTCGTAGTCAATACCATAGGTCTGTGTGAACCCCTTGGCTACCAGTCGAGCTTTATATCTCTCAAGAGTCCCATCAGAATTATACTTAAGAGTATACACCCATCTGCATCCTACTGCCCTTTTTCCATTTGGCCTGTCAACAACTTCCCATGTATTATTCTTCTCCAACGCATTCATCTAATCCTGCATGGCTTGAACCCAATCATCATCCTTTAATGCTTCATGTACTGATTTCGTGATTGAAATGGAGTCAAGTGTTGTTATAAAACTTCTATGCTGCATAGAGAGATTCTTAGAGGAAACAAAATGAGAAATAGAGTGTCGGGTACAGGATCTTTTCCCTTTCCTTACAGCAATGGGTAAGTCATCAGAATTAATATCAGGCTCAGGAATAAAAGAAGCAGTGTATTCAGTACTTACCAGCGGTTCAGGAGATTGCAGTTGCTGGTGGAGCAGTGTGGGTTGTTTCTTCCTTTGATACACTAGTTCAGGTGTCCCATTTGTCGATCAATAGAAGGCATGTCACATGAGGATTCAGATCTATTTTCAGTCTCAGCAACTAAGTCTTCCTTCTCAACTTGGATAATAGGTGTAGGCAACAGAAAGGAAGACTCAGAGAAAATGGATGAAGCTTCTATAATGTTCTCCCCTTGAAGATGAGGGTGGTGAAAGTAGGACTCAGATTCATAAAAGCTAACATCCATAGAGAAAAAGAATTTACGACTTGGAGGGTGGTAACATTTGAATCCTTTCTTGTTGGGAGCATAGCCAAGAAAGACACACTTAAGGGCTCTAGGTTCTAATTTACTCTGATGTTGTTTATGGACATGGACAAAGGCAACACATCCAATGACACGAGACTGGAAACTCTGCATAATAGAAACAGAAGGAAAGAAAGAAGTCATGAGATCAACAGGACTTACATGGCCAAGGATTCGGGAGGGTAAACGGTTGATCAAATAAGTTGCAGTTAATATAGTTTCTCCCCAGTAAGAGTTGGGTACAGATGTCTAAAACAACAATGCTCTAGTGACTTCAAGCAAATGTCGATTTTTCCTTTCAGCAACCCCTTTCTGTTGAGGGGTATCCACACATGTGAGCTCATGAGTCATTCATTTATCTTTAATAAACTGAGAAAGACGTTGATTAACATAT